AAACTTAGTGTCTAAATATTTTAATTATTTTAACTATTGGGGGACATAAAAAACTGAGTCAAAAACCAAATAACCGAGATGGATCCAAGAGCTGGGTTTAAGAGGTAGAATTTTCACTATTTATACATGATATCACATGAGGTAGAGATTTGCAGATTTGTACTAAAAAATTTACAAACCAGTAACGAAAGTCTTAAAGTCGGGCGGGGCCGACTTTATGATACCCTACACCACTTTGCTAATTTAGTAGAGCTCCGCATAACAATTAAAAGTTTTTATGGGAGAATTCAATCATACACGCTATGATTATACTTGTAATTTAAAGTTCAAAGGACTAAATATGCCGAAGCATTCGTATCTTTTAAATTCGGAATTGTATTGCCCATTTGGTGCACAATTAATTTGAAATCGGATAAAGAAATATATGGGAGCTATATCCAAATCTGAACCGATCTCGATAAAATTTGGGAAAGATATTTCTGAGCTGTATTTGATATATTTCCCTGAATATCGTTGTTACGGAGTGCATATTACGGTTGTGGGTAACAAATATAACAAATCGGATGAATAATATATATGAAAGCTATAGCTATATCTGAACCGATCTTCACCAAATTCGACATACTAGCTTCTAGACTCAATTCGGTCGTAAGTGCCAAATTCCATCCCATTTGGACAAATATTAGACGTTTGGTGCACAATAAAGGGTAAATCGGACGAAGTTATATATGGGAGCTATATCCAAATCTGAACCGATCTCGATAACACATGTATTTCTGAGCTGTATTTGATGTATTTCCCCAAATATTGTTGTTGCAGAGTGCATATTACGGCGGCGTGGACAAAAATAACAAATCGGATGAACAATATATATGGGAGCTATAGCTATATCTGAACCGATTTCGTTCAAATTTGGCATACATATTTTCAGGCCTAATTTGTGTGTATATGCGAAATTTGATATTACACGCTTGGTGCACAATAAAAGGCAAATCGGACGAAGATATATATGGGAGCTATATCTAAATTTTGACCGATTATTTCCAATTTCAATAGGGTTCGACCTTGGGCCAAACAAATGATCTGTGCAAAATTTCATCTGGATCGGGCAATAAATGCGACCTGTACTTTGTTTACAAAAATACATGGACAGACGGACGGACAGACGGACGGACAGACATGCATAAATCGACTCAGAATGTGATTCTATGCAGATCATCAAAAGGAACTATGGGTCTATCTCGTTTCCTTCTGCCTGTTACAAACAAATGCACAAAGACATAATATCCTGACCACCTCGTGGTGTAGGGTATAAAAATACTACTGGAGACCACTGACCCACAAAAATGTAATTTTTCGAAATATTAAATTTTGCAAAATATAACTCAAAATATTGGAATCCCTTGTGTGTGATCAAGGCTAACAAATGCCCTTAAAAAATTTGAGCTAAGGCCCGAAACACATTTATGGATTTGATCTACAAACTAAGTACTTTCAAATCTACTTCCACCACCCAGACTAGACAGTGAAATTATAAAAAAAAAACAGCAAATTTGGGAAAAGTTATAAATTTGTCAAAAATTGAAAAGATTTTTAATAATTTCCAGAGACTCACAATGAATTTTGATCTAGGATATGACTTACTTTGACATATCACCCGGAAAATGAAGTATTAAGGAGTGGATCGATATTTTTTATTTTTGCACATGGCATAGCACTGACACTAATATTGAGATCTGAAATTTGAACAAAATCGAATGATCCTTCTCTTTCTATGAGGTAAAATATTTTTATTAAAAATGTTGATCTTTTGGGGAGGTGGTACCACAAGGAGTGGACCGATGTTACCCATCTCCGAACTCGATCTAAGTTTGACAATAATATTACGATGTACCAAGTTTGGACCAAATCGGATGATCTATTCGAGAGATATTTTGTGCACCAGCCAGCCAAACTGTGGGACGGACGGATGGACGTGCATCACTAGTGTGACTCCAAATGTCCTGAAACGAATTTGGTCCAAAGAGACCTAGGGTCTAAGACCGTTATTTCGATGTGGCACGTTTTGGTCGTATCAAATGATATGTACCCTCTCTAGACATATCGCTGAGGGTATAATAAACGAAGAGTGGCTAAGGGTATACATTTGTCGGTCGAAGTATGGAGGGTATATTAAGTTTGTCATTCTGTTTGTAACACTTCGAAATATACATTTTACCTTAATACCTTGATCAGCGTAAAATTCTATGTCGATTTAGCGATTTCCATCCGTCTGTCTGCCTATCCGTCTGTGGAAATCACTCTAGCTTCCAAACGAATTGAAGTAAATTGATAAAATTTTAATTAAATGTATATTATGTCTGCAGGACAATTGGTATTGAAAATGGGCAATGTAGGTTTTGGTATAGCCCCCATATAACTGTACCTCCCGATATTCGGTATTTTAATGATTTTAGCGACAATATTCATCAGAATTCTTTTAAATTTGGTATTTGTTGTTCATATTGGGTGCTACAGGCCATGACAGGAGATTGTCTTCGTGTAGCCCCCCATATAACAGTACCTCCCGATATTCTGTAATTTCATGATTTTAGCGACATTATTCACCTGAATTGTTTCAAATTTGGTGTATGAAGTTCGCAATGAATGCTACAGCCTATGACCGAAAATTGTCCGTGCAGATCCATGTCTTCGTATAGCCCCCATATAACGGAACCCCCGATATTCGGTATTTTGATGATTTTAGCGACATTATTTACCGGAATTATTTCAAATTTTGTATTTGAAGTTCGTAATGGATACTACAGCCTATGCCAGGAAATTGCAGGTCAACGTTTTATAACCCCCATGGTACCTCCCTATATTCGGTATTTTGATGATTTTAGCTATATTATAAACAGATTTTTTTTAAGTTTCGCATTTGAATATTGTAATAGCTTGTGCTTCATTTATTTTTAAGATTTTAGAAGAATTTTTTAGAGGATTTTATTTTTTTGAAAATTGTTAAATTTGTAACAAATGGTGGAGGGTATTGAAGCTTTTTTACTTGTTCTAGGCTTAATTTGATTATATGTATATATGGGCTAATATTACATATTTGGTGCACTATAAAAAGCAAATAGCAGTATCTACATTTTGTCCGATTCAATAAGGTGCGTCCTTGAACCAAACGAATGTTTTTGTTTGAAAAGTTTTATCACGATCGGGCAGTAAATGTGACCTGCACTTTGTTTGCAAAAATACATGGACAGACAAAGGGATATGCATAAATCGACTCAAATTGTGATCAAAACGAACTATGGCTCTAACTCGTTTCCTTTTCTACGTTACAAACAAATGCAGAACACGTAATCCCTGAACCCAGTGTAGTGTGGGGTATAAAAATGTAAACGCATAATTATACCACACCGTAGTACAGGTATTATGTCTTTGTGCGTTGTGTCCACCTTGGAAAGGAGGCTTCATTAACTTTGTCATTCTGTCTGTCTTCCTGTCTGTTGAAATCACGATACAGCCCACATTATCTGACGTAGAGCGTCAAAATTTAGCAGAACAATTTGTATTGTGTCTAGGATAGTTGGTATAGAAAATCGGTCCACGTTTTGGTATAGTCCCCATTTAGCGATATCTCCCGATATTCTGTATTTTGATGATTTTTGCCACATTTTTTCAGGGATTTGTCTGAAAATTGGTATTTGTAGGTAATAATGGGTCCTAGTTCGTGTGGCGAAATATTGTATGTATGGGTCCACGCTTTGGTATAGCCCCCATACAACGGTACCTCCCAATATTCGATATTTTAATGATTTTTATGACATTTTTTCACGGATTTGTCTAAAATTTGGTATTTGTGTGTCCTAATGCGTTCTTGCTCTGTTGGCGAAACATTGAAGGTATAGGTTCACGTTTTTTATAGCCCCCTATATCTGTACCTCCCAATATTCGATATTTTGATGATTTATCTCACGAATATATCTAAGAATTGGTATTTGTGGGTTATAATGGGTTCTAATGTTACCTTTACCCTAAGATGGAAGGTATTAAAAGTTCGGCCCGGCTGAACTTAATGGTTTTTTTACTTGTTTTAAGTTAATAGTTACTTAATATTAATATGTTAAATTTGGTGAATTAATAATATAAACAAGTGCTTCAAGTTAGGAGAAAATCGGATCAGATGTAGCTATAGCTCCCATATATATATATATATATATATATATATATATATATATATATATATATATATATATATATATATATATATATATATATATATATATATATATATATATATATATATGTTTCATCCGATTTAGCGTTTAAGTCGCCGGCATTCTTAATATGCACCCCACAACAATTATATTTGGTACCAGATCTAACCCATTTTTAATATCAAATATCGTGGGAGTTCTATAAACATCAAATTTCATTCACTTATCTTGAATATGGTCAGAAAAATGACTAAAACAATAATGGACGAAGAATTTTTTTGCTCACTAAAATTATAGACCTTTATGACTTCCTGCTAAATTTTAGCGTATAAAAGTTATTAATATATTTGCGGACATTGCTTAGACTCTAAAGTGTGAAATAATATTGCTTTGAAGAGGTAATTGAAATTGTTTCAATGTTATCAGTACCCCAATCGATAGTTATACAATTTAAATTGTCTCAATGAAAGTACCTAACATAAGTACATACTTATAAATACTATCCTGATAATTCGAAATAGTACACGAGACAGAAAACTAATCTGGAAAATCGATTGAAAACGTGTCAACATAAATTTAGTATCAAATATAGGAGCAAACGCTTTTAATGAATGTAAAGATTTAAAGTGCCGGCTCATGAGGTTTTTTCAAGATTACTTGATACCACTTAAATAAAAAAAATTATTCATCATTTGTATTCATGCGTATTTGTATAGTCAGACGAAAATTTATATATTTTTGACGTCACATTCCTCGTTTTTAAAATAAATCGTCCATATAAAATTTTATAAATTTTATTTATTTTTTACAATAACTATATTGGTATTATAAATGTTACAACAACAATACTGATAATATCAATGAAACTATAATTCGTAACTAATGAGATTAATTAATTATTACAAATAATCCTAAAAATATATATTCGTGTTCTGAAACGAACAATATTTGGCTGTGGATTTCGAATTAGTTTTTTCGTTTAATCTACAACATCGATGGAAATATGCGATGGCGTTTGTTGCGTCGTCATAAATGTAGTCTTGTAGGCCAAACTTGTGACCAACGACGCTGACATCGGTGCCACCCAATATATCCAGTGTTGACTGAAATTCAATGACCACAGGGCTGGACCAAAGGAACGTACAGGACTCATGCTGCCACCACTCAGGTTACCCTATTGGAAAAAAAACAAATGTTTATTAATTTATAAATTAAATGATTTTTTAAAAACTAAATAAAAACTATTGATCAAATACCAAAATAAACGGCCAAAGTCTGAAATTTTTGTTTTTGGTGGAGGGTATCACCATAGTATGGAGGGTATATTAAGTTTGTCATTCCGTTTGTAACACCTCGAAATACACATTTTAGACCCCACAAAATACATATATTCATGATCAGCATAAAATTCTATGTCGATTTTGCGATGTCCGTCCGTCTGTCCGTCTATTCGTCTCCCGTCTGTGGAAATCACTCTAGCTTCCGAACGAATTGAAGTTGATTGATAAAATTTTGCCAAAATGTATATTATGTCTGCCGGACTTTTGGTATTGAAAATGGACCATGTAGGTCAACGTTTTGGTATAGCCCCTCATATAACGGTACCTCTCTATATTCGGTATTTTGATGATTTTAGCGACATTATTCACCGGAATCAAATTTGGTATTTGAAGTTCGTAATGGATACTACAGCCTAAGACAGAAAATTGTCTGTGCAGGTCCACGTCTTCGTATAGCCCCCATATAACGGTACCTCCCGATTTTGGGTATTTTAATGATTTTAAGGATATTTTTCACCAGAATTGTTTCAAATTTGGTATTTGAAGTTCGTAACGGATACAACAGCCTAAAACAGAAAAATGTCTGTCCAGGTTTACGTCTTCGTACAGCCCCATATAATAATACCTCTCTATATTTGGTATTCTGATGATTTTAGCTACATTAATCACCGATTTTTTTCAAGTTTCGTAATTGAATATGTAATGGTTTAGGCCAAAAGTTGCCAATACAGGTCGACGACGTCATATAGACCCTAATATATCGGGTACATTCGGCATTTTTAAGATTTTAACAGAATTTTTAACGGATTCTATTTTTTTTATTTATTTATTTATTTTTTTTTTTTCAAAATTTGCCAAGTTCGTTCCGCATGGTGGACGGTGTTCAAAGTTCGACCTAGCCGAACTTACACCCTTTTTACTAGTTTATATTTAACTGACCTGGCGTAATCCCGGTGCTTTTTAAAAGTTGGGAAACATGACAACACATTACAGGGTAAAAAAAATTAAGCTTAAATATTTCGAATGTGATGACGACAACATACATACATCGGAACAAAGTCAAGGCAAACATACGGAATTAGTATTAAAACAGACGTGAGTAAATTTGTTTTATATATATCTATAATAAAAGAGTAAAGTATTTGACTGACTGACTGAATTGACGATTCATCAACGCCCAGACGATGGGACTGAAGGTCGAATCTTGAAATTAAAGGTGAGTTTCTGTCTTGGTCCGAAGGGACCAAGGCTGGGGTTTTGGAAATACTAGAATGGAACGAAAAGTATTAAAATGTACTAGACTATATGGTATTATACTAAAATGTACTACATTTGGTACAAGGTACTGCATTTGAAATTTAGAAGGAAAAATAAGGTTGAGGAGTAGAGTCGATGTAAGGAGGCACTTTTAAAATTGCGGTGTTTAGGTTTGCGATATGGTGGAAGTTTTCGAAATTTGTATTTATGTGTACGAAAAGTACTAAATTGTACTACATTTGGTAGAATATAGATTTGGCCGAACCGCAAGAGTTGAAATTCTGATATTTTCAAATAAAATTACTATTGCATTGCTGGATTGAGCTATGAAGGTAGTTTTGGAAAATCGTACTTATGAGTACTAAATAGTACTAAATTTGGAACAATTATTTAAATTTGGGTGAGTTGAAATCCTGATATTTAAAAATAAAATTTATATTGTATTGTATGTATTGTAAATTTGTGTAAGTGTACTAAATGTTACTAAATTTGGTACAATATTTGGATTTGGTCAACTGGAATTCTGAAATATGGAAATAAGACTACTGTCGGATTGTAGGATTGGGATATGTAAGTAGTTTTGGAAATTTGTACTTATATGTACAAAAATGTACTAAATTGAGTACAATCAAGAGGTTTGGAATCCTGAAAATTGGAATTGGGATTACTGTGTGAGTGTAGGTTTAGGGTATGTAGGAAGCTCGGGAAATTCGTACTTTTGTGTAAATTTGGAACATTTTTGATTTGGATGAAGTTGGTATCCTGAAATTTCTAAATAAGATTTCTGTTGGTTTATTTGATTTTGATATCTATGGAAGTTTGTACTTATTTGTACTAAATGGTAACAAAATTTGGTACAATTTGGAATTGTGATTAATAAAATAATGATAAAAATAAAATAAAATGGCACTGAATTTGGAACAGTTTGGTTCAGGGTGAACGGATGAAGCTGAAATTTTGTATTCGGGTGGTAGGGTCGTGATAAATAGGTGGTTTTGAAAATGTGTACTACAAGTGCACGAAAGTTACTAAATAGTACTACGTTTGGTACAAATTGGCTTTGGATGAGAAGATAGTGCTTGAAATCTGAAATTTAGTATTAGGGTCGCTGTTCATGTGTAGGCTGGACATATGGAGGTGGTTTCGGAAATGTGTACTTTTATTATTTAAAATTGGTGTTGGATGAAGGAATAGAGATAAAATTCAGAAATTTGATAGTTAGTTTTCTGGAAGTATCTGTGTTGAGATTTGGCGGTGGTTTGGAAATGAGTCCTATATATGTACGAAAAGTACTAAATGGAACCAAATTTGGTGAAGGAGTAGAGCGGCAAAGCTGAAACTAGATGTAGATGTCACTGTTGTTGTCTGTTGTTAAGATATGGTTGGTTTTAGAAATATGTACTATAATTGTGCAAAAATTGGAACTAGATTAGATATTGGGTGAAGGGATATCCGGAAATTTGATATTGAGGTCTCTGTTGGTATCCGGAATTGAGATGTGTTCTATAATTGTACAAAAAGCACTAAATAACACTAAATTTAGTATTGGGTGAAGGGTTAGGGTTTGAGTCCTCAAATTTGATATTGAGGTCTCTCTTAGTATCTGGCATTGAAGGTGGTTTTAGGAATGTGTGCTATAATTTTTCGAAAAGTACTAAGTGGTACTAAATTGGGTATTGGGTGAAGGAATAGAGTTGATAACCTGAAAATTGATACTGAGGTCTCTGTTGGCATATGGAATTGAGATATGGAGATGGTTTTAAAAATTTGTCCTATAATTGTACGAAAAGTACTAAATAGTACTATACTTGGTATTGGGTGAAGTGATAGAGCTAGAATAGAATATGGATGTCACTATTGGTGTCCGTGATTAAGAGAAGGTTTAGATATGTATGCTATAATTGTACTAAAAGCAACTTATTTTGGTAATGGCGTAATTACAGGGCTGAAATCCTAAAATGTGATATGTCACTGTTGATTTTTGAGGATGAGATACGGAGATTGTTTTGAAAAGGCGTACTCTAACAGTACGAAAATAACTAAATGTTACTAAACTTAGTAATGGCTAAAAGGGTAGGGTGGGAATTCTCAAATTTGATATTGAGGTCTCAGTTGGTGTATGGATTGAGAAATGGAACTGGTTGTATATTTGTACGAAAAGTACTAAATGGTACCAAATATGGTGAAGAAATAGAGCTGAAATTTTTCATGATATAGATATCACTGTTGGTGTCTGTAATTAATATATGGGGGTGGTTTCGGCAATGTGTACTATAATTGTGCAAAAAGTACTAAGTGTTACTAAATTGGGTATTGGGTAAAGGGAAAGGGCTGGAATCCAGAAATTTAATATTGAGGTCTCTGTTAGTATATCTGAGAGGTGGTTTTGGAAATGGGTACGAAAAGCACTAAATAGTACTGAATTTGGTATTGGAAATTCTGAAATTTGATATAAATGTCACGGTTGATGTCTGTAGTTGAAAGAAGTAGGTGGTTTTGGTACGAAATTCACCAAAATGTCGCAAATTCCATAAAATGTGCAGTTGGGTGTTGGAATAGAGATAGAATTCTGAAATTTGGTATCGAGGTCAGTGTTGTTGTCTAGTGTGGAGAGAAGGAGGTGGTTTGGGACATGCGTAGTATTGTATTAATTTTAAATTGGGTCTAAGGTTAGAGCTGGAATTCTGAAATTTTATATGAAGGCCATTCTTGGTAGTTTTAAGAGAAGAAGGTGGATTTGGGAATGCATACTACGGTTGTTCCAAAAGTACTAAATTTACCTTAGGTTTCTAAATGAAATTTAAAGACAAGACAATGTATAAAAAATAGAACATATATTAAGGCTGATAATTCCGGGGCCTTACACCACCGTTAGTTGGAATTTCCCCACTCCAAATTGGCAGCTGTACTGTGAAATTGGTCTACAGACGTCAAAGGTCACAGAATTATTAGTTCACATATTCCATGAAAAAATTCTATAATAACTCTTGGAAATATCCTATCATACAGGTAAAGGGCTCTTCCTAACATACCTAATAGTGGAAAAGAAAATTGTGTCCATACTTTTCCAACTTACCGCTGAAAACAATAGCGTTCCAACTGTCAAACCCAATCGCAGAGCCAGCGAATCTTGATATTTCGAATTTTTATCATCCCAACTGGAACAGCAAACGGCAATTAGAATAGACGTGATCACAAGCTCAATGGCAAATGCTTGTCCCGTGCTGATATTATTTCCCGGCAACGTCATGCAAAATCCATCCTCTGTAGACACAATCACTTTGAGTAATCCAAACCCCACCACAGAGCCCAAAAATTGTCCCAAAAAATAGGCCAAAATCATATGGAATTTCACCACACCACAAATCCAACCAGCCAAGGTTACTGCCGGATTTATATGACCACCAGAAACATGGCCAAAACACTGAACAGCTACCATTACCATTAGAGCCATGTTCAGACTATATTGAAAATGGGAGTTATCGAATAGTTTCGTCTCCATGGCTCCCATGCAACCGGTGAACAGCACCATGGCGGTGCCAAAAAATTCCGCAAAGAAACATTGGAGAACTAGCTTCAGACGAGAATCCATTTTAGCGCGTCGATTCGCGATTTGCCTTTTGATCATACGACTTAGTCAACGAAGCAGACTTGCGTCTACACACCACAAGCTTTTGAAAGAGACTAAACAGATGGGGTTGTTTGTTTTAACTAAAAATAAAAACAGAAACACGGTTGTGCGAATGCCTTTTTATATGACGCTACTAGGGGAAGCATAGCCATTGAGCAATGCTGGGCTGCTATTAACGCTTAACGCAATCCAAACAAAGAAATCGTCGGGTAGATAATGCCCAACTGAAATGTGCATTGTTAACTGCATTCTTAAAGCAATGCGAGGCGCTTGCGAAAGTGTGTGGAGAAGTTTCTCGTTTTAAGGGTCGTCGCGAAAGATAATGGGTGTGTTTTTATGCATTATCAGAGTTTCAAAGTGATCATATGGAATGGATAAAGTGCATTATTTTATATTATTTAAGAGCGGGTCTGTTATTCAACAGCGAGGCAAAAATATTTAATGCAACAGCATTTTAGCCCTATAAAACCCAGATTTTTGTCTGGAATTGAAGTTTAGCTCTTATTGGTAGTTCATTGAAAGCACACATCGAACGAATGTTACAGATCTTAATTTGCCAACTTTACCAAATATCACACAACATTAATTACATATCTACGCATTTCCCATAATATCTACATTATGTCCAAATTTAGATTATTGTGACAAAAATCTATATTTACAGGTGGTCTTTATCCCGCGATTGCGTTTAAACATTTACAAAAAAAAAACAGTTTGAGAACTTCTCAAAGCTGGTTTGCTTGAGAAAATATAGGCTTAAAGCTAGACTTTTAATATACAGGATCTTAAAAAATTCGAAATATAAAACAAGTAAAAAAGCTGTAAGTTCGGCCGGGCCGAACTTTGAATACCCTCCACAATTTGGAACGAATTTGGTAATTCTCAAAAACAATAAAATCCTTAAAATATGCTGTTAAAATCTTAAAAATATCGAATGTAGCTGTTACATTAGGGTCTATACGACGACATGGACCTACATAGGTAACTTTTGTCATAAGCCACGACAATATTCAAATGCGAAACTTGAATAACAAAATCGGTGAATTATGTCGCTAAAATCATCAAAATACCGAATATCGGGAGGTACCATTTTCTGTCTTAGGATGCAGTATCCATTTCGAACTTCAAATACCAAATTTGAAACAATTACCGTAAATAAAGTCACTAAAATGATCAAAATACCTCATAGCGGGAGTTACCTTTATATAGTGGCTATACGAAGACGTGGACCTGCACGGACAATTTTGAAACATTTCCGGTGAATAATGTCGCTTAAATCACCAAAATACCGAAAATAGGGGGGTACCATTATATGGTGGCTATACCAAAACGAGGACCTGTATGGTCCATTTTCAATACCAAAGGTCCTGCAGATATAGTATACATTTGAGTAAAATGTTGTCATCTTTCTTAATTTCGTTTCGGAAGCTGGAGTGATTTCCACAGATGGACGGACATCGCTAAAACGACATAGAATTTTATGCTGATTTTATTCTGTGGGGTCTAAAATGTATATTTCGAGGTGTTACAAATGAAATGACAAACTTAATATACCCTCCATCCTATGGTGGAGGTATTTTGAGCTCTGTATTACGCATGTGAGGAAATCGGATGAGACAAATATATGGGAGCCATAGCTGTATGTGAACCGATTTTCACCAAATGTAAAGTACTTGCTTCTAGGCTGTGTTCGGTCGGATGTGCCGAAATACATCCTAGTTAGACGATTGTTACAAATTTGGCGCACAATAAAGTTGCAATCGGAGAAAGATATATATGTGGGAGCTATGTTTTAATTTGGACCGATTATCACCAATAGGGTTTGCTTTTGCATCAAACAAAATTATGTTTGGAAATGTCATCTAAATCGAAAAAAAAAAATAATAAATGCTAGGGTAAGTGTACCAGTAGTCGGCACATTTAGTATTTTCGCGTTTTTAATCGCTCACCATTCTGAGTGCAACTTTTCAATTATTACAAAATTAATTTATTCAGATTCGAAATTTTGTATAGTTTTTGCAATAATAAATAAAGTTTTTATATCTTTTTATTAAATTTCTTAAATTTGTAGTTTTATTAAAACAATGCTTTTTTGCCAGTAGTCGGCACCACTTGCCAATTGTCGGTATGGCATGTTCCAACAGTCGGCATACCATTTTTTTAAGAATAATTATTAATAATAATAAATTAATTCATTAAAATATAATATTTTTGTTTAGTTAAACTGATTCGACGTCTTTATTGCACTTTTCTTAAAAATATGGATTGTTTAGGACCTTCACAGACAAAAATTTAATTTTTATTAGAATAAATAATCTTTTCTTATCGAAATTGTACACAAAGATAGCTGACAATATATTTGAAGTAAACAAAAAACATTTAGTTATAATAGTTTCATTTATTTGGGCTTAAAAATAAAAAGTGCTACTGGGACATGCCGAACTTAGGCACACTTACCCTACCTGCATTTTGTTCACAAAATACATGATCAGACAAATGGACGTACCGACGGATCGGCATCCATAAATCGATTCAGAGAGTAATTCTATGATTGTCCGCAGTAGTAGTAGTAACTATAGGTCTATTTTGTTTCCTTCCCCATATTACAGAGTGGTGTAGGGTATAAAAAGTTATAGTTTGGGAACTCCTAAGGTGTTAGCTTGTGGAAATATGGGGACAATAATAAGCTTTAAGACTGTTTAAGACACATTTAGAGTATATGGTTGATGTATGATTTGGTTCACATTTTGTGAGATGTGGTTGAGGTATGGAGGCGAAATCGCAAATTTGTACTATAAGGTACTAAATGTTACTAAATTTGGTATTTGTGATAGAGGGATAAGGATAGAACTGGAAATCTGAAAATTGGAATGAGAGTCTTTAATGTTGTGTATATGAAACTTATTCATAGGAAGAGATAGCTATATAGAAATATGATAGGAAGAAAAAACTTTGTAGATAAGTAAGAATTTATCATCCATTTATTAAAATCAAAAATGAATGAAAACTATTTTGGCAAATTTCAAAGCTCCCTTCAAAAGTCGGACAATCATAAGGCGAACATGATTAAATCGAGTTAGTATTCTATGCCGATTTTTCCAACGAATTTTTTCAGTTGTTATAATCGGAATGACCAATTTAATGTACCCTTTCGTTTCGGAGAGATTAACATCATGAAGTTATTTATATCTATAAAGACGAAAATAGTTCCTTTGATTGATTGTTTGTAATTTAAGCCAATCAAGAGATTTTCTCGCAAATTTCTAAAGCTACTGCATCGCCTGTAGCATAGGCTACATACATTTTTGGAACTGTAATCAGCACAGAGGTACCTCCAAAAAAGATTTTGTATTCACATATCTATTGATCGGTTATAAATAAATTCTTCAAATTCGGAAACAGTGACGGAATTTGGTACAAAAATGAATTTACCAAATTATTAAAATCGGCTCGAATTTGGATACAGCCCCCCATATTTATTTTCGGCGGATTTCACAAATTTGATGCATCAAACACGATACGTATGTCCGATTCCAATTAAATTTGAAATAAATGACGGAATTAGGTACCAAAATGAATTTGCCAAATTGTATTGAAATCGGTTTAGATTTGGATAAATTTCCCGTATATATGTTTTCCGCCAATTTTGTGTATTTGATGCATCAAACAAGTAAATTCGTCAAATTATATCGAAATTAGTTCAAATTTGGATCTAGCTCCTATATAAATTTTCGAAGGTTTTCGTGTATTTGATAAGTGGACTCGCTATGCATGTAAAATTTCAATGAAGTTTGGAATGTGTGACGGAATTATTTTATTATTTATTTATTTTATAAAGAAACATAGACCCACTACGCCTTTGCAATGGTACTAGGCTAACAGTAACAATTAAAAAACAGATAAATTCGAACTTTTAATCCATGGAAATCCTTTATATGGGGAAAAAACGAAGAGGTGGCCCTGCATACACAATTTTTGGTCATAGACTTTAATACGCATACGAAATTTAAAACAATTCCGGTAAAAAAAATTTCGCTAAAATCTGCCAAACAGCGACAATCTGGCGCTACCGTTGTATGGAAAATATAATATACAGTGGACCTTATATGTTGTGCCGTTATATGAGGCCTATATGAAGACATGGACATACATAGGCACAATTTTCAGGCATAGGTTATTGTGCCCATTACAAGCCTTAAATACGAACCTTGAAGCAATTCCGGCAAATAATATCCCTAAAATCATCAAAATACGGAATATCGGGAGGTATCGTTATATGGGGGCTACACAAAGATGCATGTGCAATTTTTTGTCATAGACTGTAGTACCCATTACTAACTTTAAGTTCGATATCGTGGGCCTATATAGGCACTTCTCTTCCAAGGAGTAAAGTACTCAGAAGGAACTCCTTGTGTGGATTTTTAGACAATTCCATTGAAAAATGTGGCTACAATCATCAAAATACCGAATATCGGGAGGTACCGTTGTATGGGGGCTATACGATATCGTGGACTTATATATACAATTCTCTTGTAGGTTGTAAAATACTCACAATGAACTCCTTGTATAGAATTTCAGACAAGTTAATATACCCTTCATAGAATAGTGGAGGGATTATATGGAATGAGAACTATATTTCTGGAAGACTTAAAAATCTATCCCGTTTAATTGAACTTAAAAAAACATGACTTCTTCTTCTTCTTTTATTACAATCTAAATTTATCTCTGCATAACTTGTGCTTTTTAAATCAATGCTTTGAAATTTCGAAGTAAAGAATGTTATCCAACACCCTCCCATAGGTATCTTCCCTTATTAGCATGTCTAAGATATGATCTTTTATTGCAATAATTATAAGCAAATGATAACGCATTAAACAAAAAATGTGATGCTGTGAAGAGAACAATTAATAAAACATTTGTTTATACAAAAGCAACAATAAGGAAACTAAGATAGCAACGTTAGGTGAAGCTAGTCAACCCCCTCCCCCCTCCTCAAAAAAAAAATCCAAGAAATCACAAAAGTTTTTGGCAATTTCTTTGACATTTAAATCAATGTTGTAAATTTCTATTTATCCAAATAAGAAGGGAGCGCAATCAAGT